CAGTTCTGAGGCCAGGGGAGAATCCTTTCTTGCCTCTTCCAGATGCTGCTGGCTGTCAGCCCTCTTTGGCCTCATTGCCCTGCATCACTCCAGTCTCTGCCTCAGTGGCGACAGTCCCTTCTCCTCTTCACGTGTTATGTCTCCTATATCTTATGAGGACACTTGTCATTGGATTTAAGACCCACCAGAGTAATCCAGTATGATCTCATCTCAAGATCTTTAACTTAATTACTTCTGCAAAGACCCTTTTTAAAAATAACATTCACAGGTTCCGGGCACAAAGAAATGGACAGATCATTCAGGGACCACGATTTAACTCATTATAGGGGCCAAGAGAGGACCTAGATCTTTGTTGATTTAAAAAAAAAGTTGGTCTGTGTCACACGTATTGCTTGGGTTTGGATTTGTGGGTGATGTTTAGTGGCAAGGCAAACCAAACTTCAAGATGTCTTTTAGCCAAAGCTACTCTCCTGGGTGGCTCTTCTCTTCTCTCTCTGCGGCCTCCTCATATAATCTTCTATAGCTCCTCCTCTGCCTGTTCCCTTCATCCCCTGACGGGCACATCAGGCTCAATAACTATTGAGAATGCAAAGGACTTCAGAGATGATCTAATTCACTTGGGTTCAAGTTCAGCACAACTGTAACTGGCTCTACCCTGAAGTAATAATCACCTATGGTGACACCAGTCCAGCTGAAGCCTCAGACTCCTTAGGGCAATCCTCATAGCAGCCACGGCCATGGGTTAGAGTCAGAACATGAAGGGAAATCTCTCGGTGACCTCTGACCCCAAACAAGCCTCATTTTCTGGATGAGGAAACTGAGACTCAGAGAGGATGTGAGAATTGATAAAAAGCGGTGCTCTACCCAAGCAATATTTCAGCACTTCATTTCCCATCTCAAAAAAAACAAAAATCAGATTAACAATCCCTGGTTTCCCAAATTATGATTTTTTTTTTCACCTTCAAAACTCCTAGGTGTTGACCTGATTTTCCTTTTATTTTTCTAACAGCTCCCTCCCCCGCACAGACACATGGAGACTGTCGCCTATCAACATGACTTATACTGCACAGCCATTCTGCTCTGCAACATTCAGGCCCCATCTGCTAGCCCATATAAAGCAAAATTTATATTAAATGGTATTTCAGAAAAATCATCACGGCCTAAATTGAACATCATTTGTCGAGAAACAAAGCATATGTTGCCAATTTTGCCTCTGATTCTTGGCTTGGGGCCATTTGAGTTCTAGGGAGGAGGAGGGGAGCCCCTCTCGAGACCTCACTGTGTCCCAGAGCATTGTCTCTGACACCTCCATCTGTGTGAGCAGTTCCCATCTTGAGGCTGAGTGGCTGAGATGCTGACCTCCTTAGAAATTTGAGTTGGCCCTGTTTAGACCTATTGTTAGAAAAGAACTGCCCTAAAACATCATATTCAACTCAGCTTCTCCAGTAGTTCTTTGGGCTGCTACAACTTGAGGGGGGGGGAGTTGGCAGCATCAGCTTGAGCAAGAGTTAAGAGAATGGGACTGAACATTTCAAGGTTGGGGGAAAAAATGAAGAAATAAGGTTAGACTCAATCCTTAACTTGGTCCATTTGCTCCTAAGGGACTTGTCCATTTGACAGATGAGATGAAGGGGCATGGATGGGGGAAGTAGAAGGGGACTGCAGTTTTCAGTGACTGACGGGCCATGAGCAATACTCCATGCCAACCACACACCAGCCCTCCGGGATGGCTGTTCTTGCTCCCACTCGACAGAGCAGGAAACCAAAGGTGGGAATTTATTCGCCCAATGTCAGTTAGTAAATGACAAGTGAAGTAATTATTTCCACTGTTGTCTTCTAATTAAGTAGGTATACCAAGAAGAACTGGTAATAATTGCTGAGACTTTTTCTTCTTGAATATGACATTTCCCTAGAAGGAAAGTCTACAAGTAAATGAGATAGGACCAATCACTGACAGAAAGAGTCAAGGAAGACGTCACTGAAGGCTGAGAGCTGACATGGAATACATGATATGAAAGGACAAACTATATGATAAATCGTATTCCCTTTGTGTGTCCCCAAACTGGAGCTCACTGAATTCCTGAAGTCTTTCTTGAGTTCTTCTGCTGATCTGAATTTGCAGACTTCATTGGCATTGTTTGTTACATTTTGATTATATTTTGAGTGACTGTTAGGGCTACCACACCAGGTGCTTAGCAATAGCTGAGATTAAATATCTCATTTAACTCTCACAATAGCTTGGGGTGGATGGGGTAGGTCTTGTCATTTCCATGCCACACATTAGGAAACAACTGCAGAAGGTTACAGCTTGCCCCCAATCCCAGTCCTAGGGCGGAGCAGGATTTAGCTCCAAGATTATGACTCTCCAGTGTGTTCTAGGTAACCTCCTTTGGTTTGAAACTCCTCTGAAGGCAGAAAGAGTGGCTTGGCTTTGTTTGTTAGTTTCCCTTTAATTGGAGGAAAATGTGTCATCAATGAGTCCCTTTCTTTGTTCCTGCTGCTTTTGTCCTTTTAATATCCACAGTCTTGACTCATCCATTTGGTTTGGATTTCAACCAGTTGAAAACGAATCCCTGATGCTCTTAGCTGAGACAGTGTATCAAATATTAATCCTCCAGGGAAAGTATTTTAAAAAGGAGACTCTGGAAGGGCAAAAGGCCTTCAAGACTCACATGCTCTGCTAACAGAAACTGAAGCAGGCTGATGGGGAAGATGCTCTTGCAAGGAGAGATCTCAGAGCTTCCGAACAGGCAGAGAAGGTGTGGCTCCTGGACCTGCAGCACCGGCACCACCTGGGAGCCTGTCACGAATGCAGAATGTGGGGTCTGCACGCTCCCAAGATCCCCAGGTGACCTGGGAGCACAAACATTACAGTTTGAGAAGAGCTGGTCTAACCCATACTCTGACTTCTTTGTCTGAACCCAGACAATGGGCTGAGCTCAGAGCTGAAACTGAAAGGTAAACTTGAACTGTCTTTTTAAGGTGATCAGACTGAGAGCGAACTTCAAGAGCAGCAGAAAATCAGATGTGGGGCCTTCAAGAGCTGGCAGCTTGTTGGAAAACACAGTTGACTGATTCAAAATCAAATAAAATGGGCCAACCTCATTGTGTGGTGGCTGAGTTAGCAAAAATCTACCAGGTCAAACGCAATCCAAACTGTTTTTGCTTTAGATAAGCAATATCCAGCTTTCCCCTCACGAGGGCAAATGTAAAATAGCCTAAGATTTGTATTAGCAGTTGGCAAGTTGGCCAGATCACTTTTCCTCTGGGAACCAGTGCATTCATTTCTCTCACGGCTCTGTTCATGAATTAACTATTTCCCCTGGAACTGAAATTGGAAGCGTTCCTCTGAGCAAAAAGCAATTTTGTTCCCTTCGGATTTCTTTTTTTTCTCGGTGCAGGTTAGCTTGAAGCTTAGTGCCGCCCTGCTCAGCAGAAACGCTCCAAGCTGACCTGCTCCTCTTGCTCCACAATGTCATCTCACAGATAAATCAGAGCCTAAGAATCAGAGGAAAAAGCAGACCCAGAACTTGGCATTTTCTCAGCTTATCTAAGCATGAAGTTTTTGGCAAGTCTTTTAAACTTTAAGTGTTTAAAATTTTCCCTGATATAGTATCATTTACCTGCCATCTCCTCTGGGGGTGCCGAGAGAAGGTTAATGAGATGGTGCAGCTGCTTCGATCTCCTGGGGAGAAAAAGAAGCCTATGAATTTATCATGTACAATGACTAGGTATAGCCCAGATTTTAAAAAGAAAGGATAAATCATTAGCACAATTACAAATCCACATTAACCGTGCTGCTACCAGGCTGGTCCTATTTACAGGTGTGGCCATCAGAACCACATGACGGGTGAGGCCCCAAAGAGCGGGTCCTTTCCTTCTCCTGCTGCACACCTTGTCGTGTGTCCCCATTGCCTTTCGAATTACATCTCAAAACTTCCATTTTTGTGTTTTGATCTTTGCTCTCCTCTTCAAACTCAGTTTTTATCACTTTCTGACTTTCCTTTTTTCTGCAACGCCATTTTCTGTTCTCCAGCACACCAGGCTCTCTCTCTTCAGGGCACTTTCTTATGACATTTACTGTTCTTTTTGCTCGGAATACTCTTCTTCTCCCAGTTTCCCAACATCGTCACCAGTCCTCATGGTCCAGTCCTCATGGTCCCTTACATCTCAGCTGCCTCCTCAGGTAAGCCCCTCAGGGCCTTCTAAGCCTGGGTGGAGAGGGCCTCGCGGGGTCCCCTTGCATCGTGTGTTTAAACCTCTTCTGTAACACTCAGCTTATTCATCTTTCTCTCGCCCTAGGCCAGAGGTTCTCAGCCTTGGCTGCACATTTAGAATGACCTGGGGACAGTTTAAAACCCCAGGTATCCAGATCATACCCCAGACTAATGAAATGACAG